ACATTCAGGACCCCCGGAATGTAGGTGGCTTTGATGGACAGCAGGTGGACATGTGCCCAACACAGTAAATCTGTGGCGACACGCACAATAGTGGGAGGGATCAAACTCCCCCGTGGCGATTTATGTAGGCTGCCGCCACCTGGTTGTCTGTGTGAACTTTGACATGACGGCCCTCTAGAAGGGCAGCGAAGTGTCTGACCACATTCCTCACTGTCATAATCTCCAACACATTTATGTGCTCCTGCGTGTGGGAGGGCCAGCGATCTGCCACCGTATGGGACAAGCACGTGCCCCCTCATCCCAACAGTGACGCATCTGTAAAAACAGACACGTGTGACGTTGGACGTCCAATGGGGACCCCGTGTGAGAGGATGCAGGGGTTCCCCCAGTGAGCGAGGTCCCCGCCCACTGAAGGGGAAACCCTCAACATACGTCTCTTCTGACGTATCTGGTGTACCCGGAGGCAGATGAACCAACGCTGTAGGCATCTCGTGTGCAGTAAACCTAACGGCACCACAGCGTGGGCTGCAGCCATCATGTCCATAAGTTTCATGATTAACAGGGCTCTCACGATCTTGCGGGGTTGCACGCGGGAGATCACCATGGTGAGATCTGCTGCTTTCGCCAGAGACAAACGTGCTCTCATTAGGGAGGCGTTCAGCTCCACCCCGAGAAACACAATCAACTGGGATGGAAGGATGGAGCTCTTTTCCCAGTTTATGGAAAACCCCAGGGTTAACTTCCTGGTTTGCTCTGACGTCTCATTCTTGGACCGGGCACATAGGAGCAGATCGTCCAGGTAAAATAAAACCCTCATTCCCGCCGTGCGCAATGGCTGCAGAGCGGTCTCCAGACATTTGGAGAAGGTGCGCGGGACTAGCGAGTAGCCGAAAGGGAGATGATTGAACTGGTATTGAACTCCCTTGAATGAAAAGTGCAGGAACTTCCGGTGTTTGGGAATTACTGGGATGTGGAAGTATGCGTCTTTCAGGTCTATTGACGTGAACCAGTCCCCGGAGCGCACGTATTCTAGGACTTGCCTCATTGTTAACATGCGGAAATGCATTACTGCTATGGAGCAGTTGAACAGGGAAAGGTCAAGAAATGATCTCATTCCTCCCGACTTCTTCGGTACTACGAAGTAGCGGGAGTAAAAGCCTGAGAGCTCTTGTCCGCGAGGGATTTGGGAAATGGCGTACTTGGACAGAAGTTCCCGTAGCTCCAGCTCCAGTGCCTGAGATTGTTCCTGTGACGTGAACGTCGTCTCCACCAGCGTTGGGAACGTTACTTTAAAAAAGTAATTAGTTATAGTTACTGATTACTTTGTCAAAAAAAGTAACTCAGTTACTAACTGAGTTACAAGATCATAAAAGTAACTAATTACCAACAAAAATAACTACTTAGTTACTTTTTTCATTAAAGAATGCAAGAATTACTACAATAGTGAAATATAAATTGACTGGAACATAATAAAATGTATGTCCAAATGTTTTTTATAAACCTGAATAATTTCAATAAATAAGCACTTAACAGGAGGAACTACTAATAGGAACGTTACACTAATCTAGACTATTAAAAGGTCACTGTGTGATATTTAACAAGACCCCAATCAGCTAAAATTTTAAATTGCAAATAGAAACACCTGTAAAGGTTCCCGAGCCTTTAAATGGTATCTGGGTCTAGTTAAATTACAGAAATAAATGTAATTTTGCACAGTATTCAAATTTCTCCAACTTCACATAATTGTGTGTTGTTAGCAGCATGTCTGTTGCTGGTAATCTAGTATCGGTTAAATAAATAAATAAATATCCTTTAAAATTACACTAGAAGAGGCACAAGCCTGATGGAGGACTTAAATGTACTAACGTGGGTCAGACCCAACCACAGAAGAGCTGAAGCTGGGTGGTAAACACACACAGGTAGTTCTAATAACACCTGAGCTCCATGTCGTCTGGGACTGATGCATCAGTGTTACAGCGGGACTAAAGACATGATCAGGAACAGGTTACAGCTGGATGATCTAGGAAGGTAGAAGACCAGGAAGTCTGAGCGGTGAACAGGTGAGCGGACCTTCGGGACGTCCCGCTGTCACGCTAAGAAGGGCACGGCTGCAGACCCGCAGATTCGCTGCTGCAGATTCCCACCTGCAGCAACGAATCAGCGGGGGGTCTGCAGCCGTAGACTATTCATCATGTCTTCCTCGTTCTTCACGGGCCGTGATGCTCTTGGATGAAAACATCTGCCTCTTTAGCTCCTGATCAGCTGATGACAGCTTCAACACACCGTGCTGCTTAACGCACGCATTTCCTTATCAGTAACAGAAACAAAGTTTTGATAAAAGAAGACGTGGGCCGCCGCTGTGAAAAAAGTGAGGCGCGAACCAGAAAAGCTTCTGCCGATCACAATTCAACAACGGATTATGAAAGAACGGATAACGCTCGAAACACGCAGATTCTTCCTGATGTGAGAGGTGAGTCTCCACTTTGTTTTGGTTGTTTTGGCGTCAATATCATCCTAGCGCGCCGACACCTCTCTCCCTGGCTGCAGCTGAAGTGCCGGACCCGTGCACGGGGACGACAAAGTGCCAGTGGATGGAGCCGCGCACTGTGTCGCCACGTGTGGTCGCGATAGCGCCATGACATCCCGTCCCACCCTACGTTGCGGGGGGAGCAGGATGTGTTGGGCCTGGCTGGAAGCTAGGGCCAGTGCACAAATGGGGCGCACCCGTACAGCTGGCCGTGTAATATGACTGACTGCGTGAACATGCAGGTGTGTCGTAGTGCTTGGTGTGGGGAGCATGTGTGAGGATTCGGCAGAGGATTCTGCAGAGGACTGTAGGATTGTGCTCTCTATCTGACGTTTTTTGGGTTTTATTTCAAAACCAAAATCATTCACAGAGTTAACATAATAGTCTAAAGCACACACATTCCCCCAATGAGTCATTTTCGTGGTTGCTTTCAGGGAGGTTCTTGCGACTGTGACGGCCAAGACGGTGTCTGCTGGCTCTTTCGAAACCGTTGGCTGCCAGCTCTCTGGTCCCGCTTCGGTTCCACCTCAGCGGGAGGCCGGCCCCATGGGGCGGGCCGAGCAGCTGGGCGTCTGAAGTTTCCGCGCCGTTCGTCCCATCCTCTGGAGGAACGCTGGAGTGAGAGGCGGACCAAGAGTGGACCAGGTCTCGCACCGTGGCTGACAGTTCAGCTGTCTTCTGAGCCCTCTCGATGACGCTCCTAAGATGGGGACCAAACAGAAGGTCAGAGGTGATGGGGCCTTCCAGCATCTCCCTGTGCAGGTGTTCAGGAATGGAGGGCAGGGTCTTGAGCCACAAGGCCCGCTGGATAAGGGTCTGCCAGGCAGCAATGCGAGCAGAACCGGTGAGAACAGCTGCGCACAGATTGAGAATGGCATCAGCAGTTTTAGTAATGATGGTATTTGACTCGTCAGGAGCGTCAAGCTCTTCCACCATTTTGGAAACGCCAAAGGCAAGAAGGGCGATGTTATTTCCTTCAGCGCCGGTCTGGAAGGCGCACTGGTGTGCGCAATCGGTGAGCTGTGTCAGCAGCTGGTCATGCTTAGAAGCGGAAACTGCTCGCGGGCCAGTGAGGTGGTTCTTGGCGCCAAACAGCAAGGCCAAGTCCGGCTCCAGTGGAGGAACGGATGGCCAGCCCTGGACGGAGAAGCCCTCGACCTTGGTAATGGGTGCATATGTGGAAATTGGCGCCTTGAGCTTAGCAGGTTCGGAGAAGGCGGCGGACCAGCAGCTTATGGCAGCGGTTCTGGCACGGCTAGCCCCTTGTGGACCGTAGCCGCGGAGATGATGGCAGGTAGCTCCTGGAGCAGTGCTCTAACTCCTGGCAGGGTGGAGCGAGAAGTCACTGGAGCAGAGGAGCCCGCTGAGGGAGGCTCGTCGACCTCCGTGTTGTCCAGGAGGGAAGAAGGGCTATGGCAGCCAGCCTCGCCGTACTCCTCGCTGTCGATGACATCGTCCAGTCGGTAGGAGCCAGCCGGCTCCTGGCCGACGTTGAAGAACTGTAAGGCCTTGTCCAGCGAGTATGTGTTAGCCAACGGAAATTCCTTGTCGGCGGCGGGGGTGAAGTACTCGACCCGGCGGATCTTTTCAGCCACGGGCAGAGCGGCACAAAATGGGCACGAGGCCTGGGGGGTCAAGGCCAGGCCAGCGTGATGAGACCCGAGACAGACCTCACATTTGGCGTGCAGGTTACCACTGGAGATGGAGCCCGTCTGGCAGGCCGGGCAGGTCCTGGCATCGCTGGACATGGCTGGTGAGTTGAATGTTATTTTTGCTCTTTAAAGAAAGCTCTTAAGCTTGGCTTGAAGAGATAATGGAGGCGAACAGTGGAGTGGCTCCACTTATATACCCATAGGGGGTGCCCACCATTGGTGGGCGTACATTAAAGCTCTTCATGATTGGCTGATGCTGAGATCATCCTTTCCAATAGCAGCTAGCTTAAGGGCTAAGACTAGACGAAATAGAACTGACATGAGAATCCAGGGTGAGCACTGGGTCAATGGTCACACCAAGATTTGTGACAGAGAGTTCGGCGTGAGAAACTGTCACGATCAGGGGATGGTTCGACCCAATTGCAGGAACCCAGACGACACAGGGAGATAGTGTAATGAAACAAACAAAGTCTTTATTTCTGAGAGGTCAGGTAGTCCATGGCCCAGGGGGGAAAACGCAGCTGTCAGGGGCCCAAAAAAGTTTCAAAGTTGAATAAAAAAAATTTTTTGTTTAAAAATCACAAGTACTTTACTTTGCAGTATTTTTTCTCATTTAAGACATTAAACAAACAATATTTTAGTCTTTATGAAATGTATATTTATTCAGAGGTCCCTACTTTATTTTGACTAATTATTTTGAACCCCCCCCCCCCCCCCCCCCAACGGCATAAAATGGTACAGTCCACCTGGCCGAGGGGCGCGTTTCAGGCGAACCCACCTCACGCAGCAGTCAGACAGCAGAGTGCGCCAAGGCTGCAGTAAAAATATGTCCGCAAAAACAAAGTCTGGGTCGAAGAAAGAAAGGAGAAAGTGGGCAGGTAGAAGAGAGGGTGTCAGTATGTCACAGTTTTGCTTAAAGAAGGGTGGGTTTAGTTAGTGATTGGTTAAATTCAACCTGTTAGCTAGCTCTGATATCCACAGTGAGAGAACTACAGCTAATATCCTGCAGAAGTCCGTGCTGCATTTTCCCTGTTGTGCATTAAGTTTAAAGACTGTTGTAACTTGGATGAAGATTTTGTCACAAATGATAGCCTATATACGCTCTGAAAGGAGCGCTGGCAATAAAATTCATTCTGAGTCTGATTCTGATTCTGATTCTGATATTGTAACACATATATCAATTTCGTTATGTACAGAGCCTGGACCTTCCCGATGTCAGGTTTGGTCAGGACAAAGTATATACGTATTCATGCAAAGTTGTCCAACTTTAAAATTTTATGTAACCCTAACTGACTCCGGTTTGAACTGTGTGCTTATTCATTTTGTGTCTATGATGAAGCCATGGAGACTTAATAAAGAATTCACCTTGTGAGCAGTGAATCTTTAATTTTTGTCAGTCATACAGAAATACTTGATTTAAAGAGGAAAGGCAGCTGAAAATGTAGTTATGTAAAGCTTTGACACAACATGGAAATTTAATTAGATATCCAAATTTGAATTTTATCATCAAATACAATTTTAGAATAAATAAACACATTTTAAGGGAGTTAAAGGGAAAAGGAGATTAACACCTTTCAGCATGTGCATTTCCTGCTTTTTCCGGCAGTGATATTGCTAATTCTGTTGAAGGAAATTCACTGTTTAATGAGAGACAGCTGGTGAAAATGATATGTAAATAAGTAAGAATGCATGTAGACCTACATAATTAAGCAAAACTGAAACACTAATATAAAGTATATATATTATATTTTTTCGCCCTTCGAATCTGGGAGGGTGGAACCCCAGCTTCAGCTATGGACGAGACCCTGGGGGCCCAACTTGATTTTTTTTCATGGGGCCCAAAATCTCTGGGTGCCCCCCTGTCATTGGCGGTTCTAGGGGCGGGGCCACAGGGGCACTGGCCCCTGCTGAAATATGATTGGCCCCTGTAGTGCCCCTGTCCTGTCACTCATCTGTCCTTTGTGCGGTGATGAGATTATAGGTGGATGCAATTCCGAGTCCAAACACTAGTGGCCGTGTGGCGCTAAGGAGCAAAATAGTGTGTGAAATCCAACAGAAGAAGATTTGAAAGATTCCAAGAAGGAAGAACTTTTCAACCGACATCGGATCTGATGAGAGTCCACGTTATGAGGAGTTTGTTGGTAAGTCACGAATCACTGTTTACTCACAGTTGCCATGTAAGTCAAGTCTGACAATAAGTCCAATGGAAAGCAATGCCGACATTAGTTAAAGGTAATGTTAAAAAGGGCTTGTGAAAAAACGTTAGCCCTTGCTAATCCATGTACTTCTTTTGTAATCTGCATTTCGTGTGTTAATAGTTGGCACTGTCTGATAGAGAACATGAAAAGAAAGGGTCAGATACAGGCGGGAATTCTGCAGTTTTTTCCCAAGAGAGTGAGTGTGTCAGCTGGTGAAAACGAGCATGGAGAAATCAGAGAGAGAGCAGCAGGAGGCAGTAGACCAGAGGCTGGAACAGGGCAAGGGACCTCCATTCCCCCTTTATCAGGTCAGAAAGAATATAATCTTTATTGTGCAACAGTCATGTCAGATAAACACGAGAGACAGCCTCTTGTAGGACATACCATGCTGGGAAATCAGCGTACGTGTAATATAAACGCGCCGTGGCGGCATGGTGTTGCGGGAATTTTGTGGCATTCGTGCTGCCACGGTTGATACTAATATCACCGCAACGCCGGACTTGTGAATGCATATTACAACTTGGCGCAACAGAAGGGGGTATCATGATCACGTGGGCAGTTACTGCCGAGCTCCGGCCGGCAACTATATTGAAAATGAAAGTAAACATGGGCCGTAACGTAAGTTTGGCTTTTCTAAACAGAATCAGCTGAGATGATGGCCGGGGAGCCTCTCCGTAAGAGTTGAAGCTCAGATCACCAGAGACTGCACGGGGACAGACACCTTCTGGAGCGGCTTGTTAAAAAAGCTTAATGAGTGTGGCTTTGATCGCAATAAAAAGCAAGTTATGTCCAAGATAAACTGAAGTCCGTGGCAGCGCAGAGACCGCCCCCAAGCTCCCTTTTCACCGCCATCGCATAATCTTTTGTAAAGAGATCATGATTGCACCACATTATCCAGCAGGACGGACTGACCACTTATAAACGACCTAATGCTGCCCAGTGTGTTCTGCTTATAATTGAGGATAACCTTTTCCCATTTTATCTTGGAGCTGATCCAGTTAATGTGGAGTCATTTTCTTGCACAGAAAATTTGCATTGAGCTTTTTATATTTATCAGTAATAATTGGGTCAGTTATTCCAAGCACCAAAAATAAAGGATTATTGTTTAAATTGATAGAAGTTGTTAATCGTGACAAATCATTAGTGGCAAAGTTGCTTCCCTTTAGTAAATGATTTTACGTTTCTCAAAGCATCTTTCCATTCATCATCAGTAATGCTGCAGTTAAGTTTCCTTTCCCACAATTCCTTCAAGGTTTCCCTAAATTGTGACATTTTGATGTATTGTAAAATGTGTGGGAAAAGTCCTTGTTTGAAACACTGAATTTTCTAATTGGTTGATTAAGTAAGGTCAAGGTTAAGTTTTCCAAAGAGACTTTGTGTTTTGGATATTCCTTTGTTAGTCCAACTTTTCCTGCCATTATTCTAGGTAAAAATAAAAAAAATCACCATTATCTCAAATTTGTTAAATTATGTTATCTTGTACTAATGGCACATATGTTTACTGAATTCTTCCGCTTCATGGTGATGTGATTTACTATAACATTAACATAATGGATTTAAATTGTATTGGTTTCTTTGTCTACATCTACCACATCTAATCTTTATAGTCCAATCTTTGAAGTCTTCAATTTCAAATAAATAAAAATGTGGTCTCATAGAAAACAAAGTTTTGGCTGGATTTAGCTGGAGTTTGACATATATTTGTATTTTAGCTGCAAACTGGGACAAGACTCTCTCCAATTCAGACAACCAGAGTGAAGTTAATGACTCAACCTTCCATCCTGCTGGGCCACCAGAGTCACCAATCAATACTAATCCTGCAGGATCAAATGGTAAACATTGATCTTTGAAAGTAATAAATGCTTGTGTATGTATTTGGCTTATGTTAGATAATTTCTCATTTGCTGTTTTCAGTCATCTTCCAGTGTGATGCACAGAATCCTGCGCAGACATCAGAACGGTGTTCTGTTCCAGTAGGACCTGGTGGTGTGCTTCTCATTTTGTAAAGGCTCTTTAAATTTAATTGAATTTTGCAGTCAGTCACTTGCAGATTCTGAATGCCATGAATGTTAAAGGTTGAGAGATATAAGCAACTGACTCAGACTTATTTAATTGACTTCCCACCAGACATTTCCCAGTCAAGAGCAGAGGGTCCTGTGATATTCTTCTGGTGTTTTTTCCACACACAAACATAATTTAACCTGATATTTGTGGCTTTGCAAAATAAATTGAATGCTAAAATTTCTCAAATGCTGTGTGTGGTTGTATTTTGTCAATGTACAGTAAAAATTGATGTACAATTGCATTGATGTTTTTCAACATGGTGTTGGGGTAAACTGTATCTACCATACAAAACTGGGAATAGTATGCAAGTATGTTGGACTGTTCGTGGCCCCTCTATAAATATTGTGGCCCCTTGATGGCCCCACCCTCAGAAAAATCCTAGATCCGCCACTGCCCCCTGTATAGGTCAATCTGTAGGTGAAAACTGACCATTTGTGGAAATTACAAGGAGGAAACTAAATCATAAAACCTGTAAGACAAAAACTAACCTAAACCTGTAGGACTAAAGACACTTAGAACTAAAGTAAGTAACCAATGACCTGAAGAGTTACAGAACTAAATATAAGCCATAAAAAACTAATGATGAAACTGGGAGTCTGGGTGAAGGAAATTATTGGGAGTTAAAGAGCCTGGAACCAAGGGCAGGGGGTATTCTAAAAAGAAACAAGGAGTGAGACAAGAAGGGGAACACAGACGCACAATGTGACAAAAGCAAGCTGACCAAGAGAGTCTCTGACTTTGGGAACCAGCTTGTCTGGGGCACAGATGAGGATCTCAGTCTTATCTTCATTCAGCTGTAGAAAGTTCCCAGCCATCAGGCAAACAGGAGTGTAACAGCTGCAGCTTAGACATCTCATGGGTACTGAGGTCCAACTTGTGGTGAAAGTTGAGTGATCCCAAAATCTTATCACAAAAGATTAATTGTTAATACTTTACCATCAACTGAGCCAACCCTACCTCATTTTTTTAATCTAAACTTGACCCAAAATAGAAAATCCTTTAACACACCTAAACTGACTTGTGCTACAACATATTTAGTTCTAGGTCAATCAAAGACGTATCTTGATTGTGTTTTGGAGAGCATCGCTATAAGTGCAGTGGCAAAAATAGGGCGTGTTGCACATCTATACACCATGTTGGGTCTCTTAGCCGTAGGAGCTGGCTGTCACTCTGGCTTTTTCCCACCGTGACATTTTAAGAGAAATTTCACAAGTTTTGCGAGGCAGAATTTTAGACTAAATAATTTATATTTCTTCTCTCTTCTGAGAGAGTTGTAAGCCCTAAACCTAGCATTCATCTCTGAATGTAAATGACTGATTTGTTTTAAGAAAGTTAAACAAGCAAAGACAAAATGTTTTTACAAATCCAGTATAAGAAAGGTAAATACCAATCTTCATCTTGTTTTCGTTTAAGACAAACATGTTTGACACAAGCCCTCAGTGTCATTGTTTGCACCTTGAGGTCACAGGTCATGTACCGGCATCTAATCAGAGTACACCAAAGGAAGTGAAACAGCTCAAGCTACTATTAGTGTTTCATCTTTGAGTTTATTACACACACAGAAATGTCAATTTGCATCTCATGTCATGCCTAGCCAGAGGGAGGGAACATGCCTGTCTGTCTCCTTGCGTATTTGTCCAAAGACAGGAAGTGGTTGACACACTCAGGAGGTGTGAATTCCCTACTCGTGATTAATTTAGCCCTTCCTGCGGAGGCAGCCTGCCATGAACATTTACTGGGCTCAATTTAACTCTGATCAACACGTTCACTTTGACTGCCAGATGGTGATTTGATTCTGACAAATTACCCGTGTGTTGTGCCTGATAATGCCTCGAAACCCGAGTGTTTACTTTCCTTTGGCGGTTTATTATTGTATAAGTGTGTGTGTTTGTGTGTTGGGGGGGTGACGTGCTGTTCCACTGAGCTCATGTCAGAGTTGCTAAATGGGTCCCTTTTTTGTTCTCCTGAAGGGAAATGTTTACTTTGTTTCAGTGGTGAAACCTCATCTGGCTTTGCAGATCTTCACCTGAAGGTTTGACCATTCTTGAATCAGACTCAGCAGGAGGCAGTGAAGAGCGGTGGTGAAATTGTATCCCTCTGCCACTGTCGAGCGAGATGCAGCCTCCGAGTCTTCAGCTTCAGGCTCTGGACCCTGCTTATGTTGTTAGGCTCTTTGAAGAGCTCAGAGCAATTTTGCTTCCCAGAGAAACAGCTCAGAAGAAACACTCAAACCTGCGTGGGCATGACTGTGCTGATGTGCTCATACCATATGCAAACGCTGCAGACTGTAAAGTGGGTTATTTATCAGCAAAAGATGAAACTGAAAATTTCTGTGTGTATGTTTACAAGCTGCAGCAATTTCTGCAGCTTGTTGCAGTCCCACCTGTGGGGATGTGTGTTATATTAACACATTAAAATCCATTGGGGGGTTTTGGGTTTGCTGTTATGTAGTTAGAGAAGTAGTTTGGTTGAAAAATGGTTTAAAATGTATTTCAGAGCTTTTGAACCATCATAGCTTCTAGAATAGCCTCAGTCTGGAGGAATAGAATGAACTGCTGGTGCCATCAAAGTGTTCACCAATACCTTTGAGCTAGCTTGTCTCAGCAGGACATTTTTGAAACATGTAGGACAATAAACTCACCTTTGTATCCATTTACTAGTGGGTATTGTGATCTCGGACTTTTCCTTATTTGACACCATACTTTGAAAATGATAGGGAACAACTTCATAGATGCAATACAGGTCCAAGTATGCATTCAAACCACTTTTATAAGCAATAAAAATCAGGTTTCACTGCAAACCAAAGGAAGTTATTGTATAGTGTTGCTAAAATCAGAAGCAGTAGCCCTACAGTCCCCTACAGATGGTCTCAAAGTCCTATTCATCAGAGCTCGAGCATTCTGCATCGTCAGAATCATTACAAAATGCGGAACATTTTCTAACATGGGGTTGGGACGGTCACTCTGATCGGAAAAATATAGTAAACCAACAAATGGACCAGAAATGATCAGAAGATTATTAGAATAACCATTCAAAACAGCTCTGAAAATGTTCCCCGTTTTTTCTTAGCTTACCTGCCTTGGGCAGCTGAATTAAAACCAAATGTGTCAACATAGTCCAAAAACCCATGCACGAGTGTGTGTGTGTGTGTGTGTGTGTGTGTGTGTGTGTGTGTGTGTGTCTGCACGTGCATGAGTCCTCAAGGCTGCAAAAGATGCAGGACTTCTTATCTATCGTCTTCAAATAAAGCTTGTCTTCCCTGGCTCATAAATGACTTTATACTTTTATAAGGGCTACATAATCATATTTTGTTGAATGAACAATATGTTTAAATCAAATGGTTTTAATAATGTGTCCAATGCTCTACATTAATAAATGATGGATTTATTTATTTATTTCAGATCTTAAATTACATCAGATTGGTAATTGTGTATTTTAATGTTAGTGTATCAGTAGATTCACATATAACTCAATGTGAAATAGTAATATATCTCATACACCCCCACCTGACCTAACCTTAAGGACATTCAATAGTTAATAATATTGGGAATGGTAAAAAGGGCATCCTGTGTTTATTAATGCTTAATTAACCACTAAGTAATGTTAATAAAAGGACCCTTATTGTTAAGTGTTGCTGAAATTATTTCAATAGGCATTCGGAAAGGGCTCCTTTTGTGCACCCTTCTAAGTAAATCACATAACAAGAAGATAAAAGCATATGATAAGTTTGTCAACAAGGATAAAACTACAATACATCTGAAAAGAAATCATAGATACTGAGATTTATCGATTACCATTGTGCAAATGTCTACATGCATTAGGAACTAATTCCTGCTACATGAATCATGATCGATGAGTAGCTTTGGCCTTTTGAGGTTTCCAACAGGTGGGTGCAAGGATTGCTAATGAGCCATGGGGCTTAGACTTTACCCAACAACAAAAAACTGTACCTTCTGATTGGCTAATCTGACAGCTGTAAGGACAAAGCTAATCAAAGTTGAACCTATCCATTTAGAGGCCATAATTTGGTGTGTTGATGCAAAAGCCATCTAACTATTCCTTAATGGTTTCCCCCACCTTCACTCCCAGGTCACTCAACACACTTTGAGCCCAAGCATGACTGGCTTCCCACCACGCTTCACAAGAGTTAAAACCTGTGTTTAATTTCCATTTTCATGCTGCAATGGCCGTCTCTTAAATTATTAATGTCCACTGGTGGCAGCGGTGGCTCGTTTTTTAAAGAGCCGCGTGTTTGTGTTGGATGAAATGAGAGAAAGAGAGCGAAACAGCAGTGATAAGAAAAGTGTGAGAAGAAAAAGAGTGTAGGAGACAATGAAAAAGAGCTTTGAGATTAGGGAAATGAGGGTGAAGGCTTGGTTTGTGTGTGTATGTGTGTGGTTTGTCATGTTTGATAAACTTTCACAGGGATCAGGATTGGAAAGCTTCTGCTAAGTTCTGCGTAAAAAAGTCAGCTAGTTCCAGACAGAGGAGCAGAAATACTAAATGTAATGAGATGAGGAACGTGTGACTCTGGGAGAAAGCCCAGCAGAGGCCAGACTCAGATACAGGTGGCTTCTTTCAGGTTAGAGGGACATTGCACAGCAGCAGAGCACCCTGTACTCCTGTCTCCCTCCATATTTGGGTCTGCACATGAAGGAAAATAGTAGATTTATCAGGCATCAGTATTTCTTGTGCTCCCAAGAAGCTTCACTGGCCTTGGGAGGAAGCCAGAACACTGCAGCATGACCCTGTTCTCGCCTCTCTCTGGCTCCTCATCTCACTTTTGCCTCTTCATTTTTATACATTGCTTCCAGTCAATGCCTTTTCAACTCTGTTGGTTTTTCTTGTAAATCCTTTCCAAAACTGTCATTTTCTAAAAGTCTGCCTCATAGTTTCCAACCTATTGCAAATTATAGCAAACCAAACATTTATTTCTGTTTCAGCTTTTGTTTCCCCCTTTTATTTTCTCTTCTCCGATTCATTGCCTTGGCAACAAAGCGATCGTGGTGGGAGTCATAATTTGAAATGCTTGGTAAAGAAGCTCATCGTCACAAAAGGAGTGTAAATGTGTTATTGACCTATATTTTCAGCCCCACATATAGAAACCCATATTTTGAACCAGATCCCTCCAGCATCAGCCCATCCATCTGCAATAAGTCTCTCTCCCCAGAGCCCAGTGGGTGGTGATGCTGTGCTGGAGCCACAGAATTGTGAGATAAATTGTCACAAAGTGATTTTTTTCCCTTGCACTGTCTAATTTTTCTTCTCAAGTGTTGTGTCAAAATACATGTAGGTGTTTTACTGTGATTGTGACTGCTTGTGACTTGAGGGTGTCCATATGCATGTAGGATTGTCTGACAAATCATCTCCATAATTATTCAGAACAAACGCTACTGAACAATGACAGACCCGAGTATTGTAACTGCTGTGAGTCACCAGAAAAAAAAATCTAAAGTCACACAGACAGCCAGGTATACAGAAACATCAAAGTAGGTCAGAAGTTACTTCAAACATTCTACTTCATAACCTCAGAGAATCTTCAGAATACCTCAAGGCAATGGTTTGTTTTTCAGAAAGATACTTTTTTTTAGGAGTAGAATCAATCAAACCATGAGAGGTAAACAAACACATTAGATGATGCACTAGGAGATTTAATAGACCATTGTAGTGTTGTCACGATACTAAAATTTCAAACTCGATTCGATGCTGGAAAAAAACTCGATACTCGATTTCAATACTATTTAAAAACACCAATGTATTGAACAAGTTTATTCAAAAAATAACATTCCTCAGTTTAAATAGCAAAAATTAAATGTTAAGAATTAAGTGTATAAAGTGCTTAAACCTTTCAAGTATCAGCATTTTTTAAAACGTGCATACAAAAACTGGCGAAAGTTAACACTTTAAATCATGAATTGTCTCACTATAAATACACTATTTGCAGAGTGATGTTTTGCTGCTTAAACTCTGTTTAAGGTGCATTTTTGTCATAAGATGTAATTCCACATGTTTTGTTCTGTACTTTTGAACAACTCTGTTGGTCAATAAAGGGAGAAAACAAATTTCTCCACAGTAGGACAAAGGTACATCTACCAGTAATCTTAATAAAAACAGATTGGCGCACGGCAGTGACGTCATTAAAAGCGCCGGTTAGATTAGCCGCGGCTAGTCTGTTCACGCCTAGAAATCCCAGACCCGCTCCAAACGAACAGGGGAATCATGTTAATGATTCCTAACAAAACCTTTCGACATTGAGATGTTTTGGTGCAGATAATGTCTTATTTCGAGGCGGCACCATAGGTGCCCGTCCGCACCCGTTATACGGATATACACTGATGGCGATTCGCCGATGGATCTAAATACCCCGGGGAATCCAAGTAGCACCAAAGTAGTCAGCGTGAGTAAACAAACGTACTGCATGCTAGAAATTAAGTCCGGGTTGCAATAAACGGGAGTTTTCCTTTAAGCACATAAGCGTGAATATACAACTACATGTCGGACTTGGTGTGCTAATTAAGTTGGGCTGTGAAGCGCCTCCCAAATTCGCTGTTTATGTTTTTGTTTATTTATTTGGCAGACAAAACTTGGATCGGAGACAACTCGCGTGGGAAATTGCAATGTAGCCATGCGGCGTTTTCTTCTTCTGTTTGTCTGGGAGGCGGAGGCTGCTTTACGGCATCTGGCTGTCGTGCGTGTCGGTGTACTTGAAGAAGGCTGTGTATAATAGTCCATAATATCGATACCACAGGGATAGAATATCTAATTTAGATACCAATTTTAGCATCGATTTATATCTAGGTATCAATTTGTCTGACAACACTAGACCATTGCATGTTTTTTTTTTATTCTCTCCTTAGAAGGTTTTCTAAATATATTTCATAGTGTGTTTACATTTTTATTCATATACTAGTGTAGCGTTATTAAGATCCTATCGTCTGCCCTTAACAGCTGCCCCTTCACACAGTAACAGCGTGCGAGTCGCCAAGGTCGAATGCTTGTTTCTGAATGTTTACATTCCAGGAAAGGAGACAGAAGAAAGAAGAAGAACGCTTTTCATTAATTAATCAAAGTACTTTATTTGTGATAAAGCTAATCAAAATATATGTTGATCAATAATAATCAGGTGACTGATCTGTGAAATAAAAATGTCATGATTTAAATTTAATGAATAAACAGGACTGTGCACCAGACATACTGATCCACCAGAACATAGAAACGCATGACACATTGTTCTCATCCAATCAGAGCTTTCGTCTGTTGCAGGGCAGAATCTGGGCTGTTTATTTAAATTGTCCAATCCGATTTGCTAAGATTTATAAACAACTAAGTTAATAAAACAAGGCAACGCCATTTTAACCTCAGTTCGATCCCAGCTCCAAAGGAGTTACATCATAGACTCAACGTAGTTTCAACCAGCTCTCAGTTCGTCATCGCTAAGAGAAGTGCAGACTGGCCAGATGCATTTTCTACTTTAAGCTGAGAAATGTCAAGCTGGAAATTCTGTCGTTTGAACAACAAGACGATGGTTCCTTCAAAATAAGAGCTGAACTCGCTGACGCCTGCCGCTGCTACCGGGAGTCGATCCACAGACGGGTTTTGTCGTGCTACAGACGCTGTTTCATCAGTTCCAGTACCAAGGAAGGTTCGAGGACCTGGCATTTCCTGATCTGACACGGGAGGCTCCGACACGGTACGTAGACACGGCACAAGATGGCGTTCATGTCCTGAGCTTCTGAAGCCTCGTGGTCCGTAGTCATAACATCAGACAACCAGATCCGCCTGCGGCAGCCTAGAGATTCTGAAAACACACACACACACCAACACTTCAACATTCAAATCCATATGCATCCATCATAGAGAGTCCTGGTACATTGTTTGAATTTATGATTATAGAAATTAAAGATTCTTAAACGATCCCAACTCTCTCTCTCCTCGTCTCTAAGTCAATACAAAGTGTTTAAGTAAAACTCCCTGAAGATAAAAACAACCTCTTCTGATTATAACATCTGGACCCAATAACAGTGTAAGAATATACAACTATATTCCACTACACTAGAGTAGAACATATTATTTTGCAATCACACAGGATGAGTTAGTGCAATTACTTGGCCTCTTTGGAATAGTCCAAAGTTTTATTTTTGGACATTCCTGGTGTTGTTGGATGACCTATGACCTGTGACTGAGACCAAGCATTTTGACAATGGGTGGCATTTATCACTAGGAGTGTAACATTACATTGAGCTACATCCATACATCGATTTAATGGTTATCAATCAAAATGCAAAAATTGGTAGAAATTATATTTGGCTGAATTTGAGACATCAGCAAACCACAGTATCGCTATAATGTCATATCATAATCAAAGTAGTGATTTACCACCCTACTTGATTGTCCTTAGATTTGAACCTAAACCCTTCAAGGTTCCCTGTACCACATGCAAAAAGCAGCTCCAGATCAGAACCACACGTTCTCCATCTTTTAATATTGATACCATATTCTCTTCCTTGCTGACTTCATTTTTGAATCTGTGATCATATAGTTGATGTGTTTTGCCAAAAAACTCAAATTTGATCTTATATATCCAAAAGGACAGTCTCCCAAAAGCTTTTTAACTTATAAATGTGTGTTCTGGAAAATTCCATTCTTGCTTTTTACTGATTTTCATCCAACAGTCAGGTCACTTCTGGCTAGAGATGGGTACCAAAATTCAGTACTTTTTAAGGCAT